GGGGAAGGAGGGGAGGGAGTGGAAGAAACTTGCTCAGTCCAGGTCCTGGAGGGACCGCGCTGAGTGGAAACCGAGCTATAAATGGGAACCCCTGGGGCCTCGCTAGTTTCCGCGCCCTGGGGAGGCGGGGCCCTGGGCCGCTCTGAGCCTGCGGGTCAGGAAGAGGGCTCCGGGGTGGCTGGGGGCAGCTAGCACCCCCGAGAAGAGGATGGTTCTGCTCTCCCCGCCTCAAAACCCCTCCTCAAAATATCCCCCTGCCTGTCTAGTTAGCCTCGCAAACCGTAGCACGACCTAAGATCCAGGAACCCAGGCCCCCGGCCCCTCCTTTCCCAAGACCCCGCCGTCCGGGCTCAGCCCCTCGCCCCCACTCGGCTGTGGTTGCCGGGCGACAGCTGGGAGGCGGCGGTGCCCGGGCTGGGGCTGGCAGGGAGGCTGGGAACCTCGCAGCTTGTCCTGACGGCTGCATGCGTCCCAGCTGGGGCGTTCCCACGCTGCAAGCGGGCGGGTGCGCTGCGCAGCTGCTGGGGCAGGTGGGCGGGACCCCCAGCATGCTGAGGGGCGACCGTGGGCTCGCGACCCTGGTTCTGACATTCCTGAGCTTGTTGGGACTGAGGGTCCACACTCAAGTTGTCCATTGTTCCTGAGCTCAGATTCTCGAGTCCCTCCCTAAGTGGCAGGGACTTGGACTTCCAGAAGGCGAGCAGACCTCTGTTGACTGAGAAGCTCCGAGTTTCCCCGAGGAGCTGGGGACTCAACTAGGTCTTCTGCCTGCAGCAGATGCAGTTGGGAGAGGATGACATGGGGTCAGAAAATCTGATCTTAGGTCTTAGAGTCAGTGGATTTAAGCACCAGTCTCTCTCCCACTCCCTACACATGCCCGGGAGGATTTGAAAATCAACAGTGAACATATGCCCAAGTTCGGGGGTGGGGGGTGGGAGTGTGTGTTGGTGGTGGTGGTGGGGGGCTGATCTCTTGGGAATTTGGGAGAAGGGGCTGCAGCCCTATACTGAGTCTGAGAGGGGTGGATCCTTGGGGCCCAGACTTGTGGGTCTTGGTAGCCCAGACTTCTGGGTCTGGGAGCCTGAACTCCTGGCTTCTGTTTTGGGGATCCAGCACCTAGATTTTGAAATAATATGAGCTTGAGGCCAGCATTCCTGAAGCCTGGGGAGGAAGTCAGGCAGTAAGGCTGTTTTTCTAGACACCCAATATCACTTCCCTTTCCTGGCTCTCTGGGGCCAAAGATGGAGAGTCTGAGGTCCCAGGAGAATCCAGAGAAGGAAAACAGCCAAAGTGGAAGGTGGAAGATTTGTGCTAATTAAAGGCCCCAGCAACTGACAGCTATATACCCTGGTGCTGATGGACACCATCTGGTGAGGGCCCCTATGACAGAACCTCCTCTCTGCATCCAGCCCATTCCCCAGGAGGTGTGGAGGGCAGTTGGGAGAGAAAATGTGGGAGGAGTGCAAGGAGTCAATATGGGAGAAAGAAAGACTAGAGGCAGCATCAAGAATGGAGCTGTGGGGGTTCAGGCCAGATGCCTCATTTTGTTCCTGGAGAAGGACCAGATAGGGGAGTCACGGTATCTGTGTAGGGGGTGGGGGTGGGGCAAGCAGTTCCAATTCCTGCCGGAGATAAGCAGGCGGAAGAAGCTTACCCTGGGTGAGCGTGTATGAGCACACGGGCCGGGGAGGGCAGGCCAACCAGCATATGCTTATAAAACCCAAAGATGTGGCGGCAATCAGGAGAGACAAGTAAAAGAAAGAGGTATAGTTAAGGGACGACTGAAAACAAATATTTATGGAGCTCCTTGTGTTTGTGAGAGTATGGGGTTGGGGGCAGGGGGAGAGGGAGATGAGAACAGAGACAGAGAAACAGAAAAGCAGAGACACGTAGATGCATAGAGAGGGAGACAATGGCATAGTTAAAGGTTGACTGAGATGTATGTAGCCACCTAATGGAGGGAGATAAGAGGAGAAAAAGACATGGAGGCAGGAGAAACTCAGAAATGGAGGAGGAAAGATAAATCGAGCCCTGGCCAGTGTGGCTCAGTTGGTTGTACATTGTCCTGTGCACCAAAAAGTGGCAGGTTCAGTTCCAGGTCAGGGCACATGCCCAGGTTATGGGCTCGATTCTCGGCAGGGGGCTTGCAGGAGGCAGCCTATCCGATGTTTCACTCTCACATCAATGTTTCTCTCTTCCTCTCCCTTTCTTTCTCTCTAAAAAAGAAAAAAAAAAAAAATCAATAAAAAAAGATAAATAGAGATGGCTGGATGGAGGGAGAGAGACAGACACAGAAGAGACAAGGAGAAACAAGGAAGCTATGTGAACTACTCAGAACTCACAAGGCTCTTGCTGAAGGGTTCCTAGCTGGGTGCAATGCTACACCCACACTTAGTGCTGGGGGTCTTAGACACTACCTTTCACTCCCACCCACTCTGACTGCCTTGCCCCCTGCACACATACACCTTAGACACTCATATACACTCACACACCCTGCAAATGCTTTCACAGATCACAATTCACTCTCACCTCCCCACACTCACACAAATGCTCACTCACATGCACTTCACACACACATGCACACAGATATCTGCACTCTCCCAGTCTCTCATACACACTCCCCAGCAGACTCAGGGAAGGAAGAGACTTGCCAAGGTCATGTACCAGAGCAAGGAAGAGCTGAGGAGTCAGTCCTAACCCCATGCCAGGCCCAGCCCTCTGCTCTCCATGCTGAGCTGGGATTGCCTGGGTCCAACCTGCATCCCCTCATGCCTGGCCCAAGCCAGGCCCTTGGGGTCATGGGGGCTGGGGAGGCACCGAGGAATATGCCTGGCATGTGCTGACAGGGGATTTCATGCTCCAGCTGGGCTGGGAGGAGCCTGCTGGGCAGAAGTCTGGAGCAAGAGACTTCAGAAGGTGCCTCAGGGAGGTAGCAGTGCAAGGACAAGGCCAGGCTGGATCCCAGAACGAGGCTCGACTCTGCCACTGAACATATCGGCCTCATTGCTCTCCTTGGCTGGTGGGGCCTGCTGGCCTCGGGTCTTCCTTGAGGGGCTGTGAGTGGTGAGAGGAAAGCAGGGGTTGGGGTGGCAGGAGAGAAGAAAGACAAATAGAGACTTATGGGGAGGGGGAGAGAGACTCGGCGAGAACAAGGGTGCACCTGAGGGAGAGAGACAGAGAGGGAGAGACAGGAGGAGGTAGAGTGGAAGGGACTGAGGGACAGGGAAAGAGACAGAAAGGCTGACGGGGAAAGAGGGAGAGAGAGTGGGGGAGAGACAGGCTCATGGGAAGAAAGAAAAAGAGAGGAAGGGAAGGAAACAGAAGGCAAAAAAGAGACAAAGAGAAAAGCAAGAGACAGAGACGTAGGGAGAGGGACCCAGAGAAAGCCAGTGGCAGATGCAAGAGGCAGACCATGGGCGCTGCAGGAGCCATAGGCAGAGGACGTGGATCGGCCCCGAGGATCCCCATCCGGGCTTCCCTGCTCCTCATGGGGCTGCTGACCACAGGTGAGTGGGATCCTGGCCTTGTGACCCAGTGTTAAGAGGCCCTCGTTTCCCTCTCACAGTCTCCAGACAGACGCTCTGCCCTCTCCTGCTGACTGTTTTGTGTCCTCAGGCCTGGCTCAGTTGCAGATCCCTGCCTCAGCCTCCAGAGGCTTCTGGGCTCTGCCTGAAAACACGACGGTGGTGGAGGGGACTGCTGCTGAGCTGCAGTGTGGGGTCACTGCCCCTGGCAGTGCAGTGCAATGGGCCAAAGATGGACTACTTCTAGGCCCTGACCCTAGGATCCCCAGCTTCCCGCGGTACCACCTGGCAGGCAACCCTACTAGAGGTAAGGGAGCAGAGCCTGAGACCCTGAGCCACCAGCAGAAGCTGACAGTGGCCCTGACCTGGAGTCTTACCTGCAGGTGAATTCCACCTGCATATTGAAGCATGTGACCTCAGTGACGATGCAGAGTATGAGTGCCAGGTCGGCCGCTCAGAGACAGGGCCTGAGCTCGTGTCTCCCAGAGTGATCCTCTCCATTCTAGGTATGGGTGAGAGACCCCCCACTCCAGGAACCATGAGCCTGGACTTCTAGCCCTCTCCTACCTCAGATCCAGGGTGCAGAACTCATTTCATGAGCATTGAGGCTCAAAGCCCAAGTCTTCATATCTTCCATGGTGGTGGCCGCTTACCCCAGATCTTTTCTCACCAGTGCCCCCCAAGATGCTTCAGCTGACCCCTGAGGCGGGGAGCACAGTCACGTGGGTAGCTGGGCAGGAGTATGAGGTCATCTGTGTGTCTGGGGATGCAAAGCCAGCACCTGACATCACCTTCCTTCAGAGTGAGTGTGGGTAACCTGCTGGGGGCAGTGTGAGGCCCCTGGAGTTGAAGATCGTGTCCCTGTCCAGTGCCCTCTTAGGGGTCCCAGAAAATATTACATTCCTGAGATGGGGACATAGGTTCGGGGAGATGCTGAGGCCAGCATGGAATCTGGTGGATGGGAGGAGGCATCCAGGGAAGGCACCAAGGAGATCCCAGGGCTGCTGGTCTGGGACTTAGGGAAGAGGCTGAGGCTCCAGATAGAGATACTAAGTGATAAGTGTGGGTGACACACCCAATGAGGAGGG